AAGGACTCTGACATAGGCATGCTCCAGCTACATTGAGGCATAACCTTAATCAGGAGAAAAACAGTAGCAAAATAATCAAGAGTCATATATTCAAAAATCTTATCATAGGAATCATTAAAAGAAACACACTCAGCATAATCAATGTAACAATCAAAAAAACCTACGCATGACCACCAAGGCAGGATGAATAACAAGCCACCCAGCTCATACAATAAGGCTTTGGGAAAGATCTGGTCAAAAGGGATTCAAGAAATACTTCACAATATCAATGCAAACACATACGTACAGTGTCTATTTAAAAAAAACCAACAAAGAGGCAGCGATAGCAGCAACATCAGGAAATACACAATCTCAGAAAATACACATATAAATTAAATACATAAAATATCAAAAAGATTAAACCTTACCACACATTGTCGATGAAGAGGAGGCATAAGAAAGTATTCATTTTTCAAAAAAGGCAAAGTATAGTAAAACACACAGTGGCACGACCCCAACCACAAGTTTCAATACAAGGGAGTGATCAGTTCCCAAGGGAATCAGCTCCTTCTGAGGTCCCAGCCACGGGACCAGCCCCAACTGTTTTGCCCAGAAGGCATGACAAGCAAGGGAGAAAGAAAGGACGAGAAACCTGTCCTTAAAGCAAGTCCGGGTGTGACCCTTCCCTTGCAACCAAATTGTGAGACAGCTTTAGCTAGCTAACTAAACCACAGCAATTTCCCTATCTAACTACTCTATGTCCCCAAAGAGGGAGCTTCCAGCTTACCTCTGATCCAAAGTAGATTGTGTCCGGAAAGGAGCAGGTTCTGGTTATCTGGAGGCCAAAGACCAGGAAGTTGTAAAAATCCCAGATGGACACCAGATCTCTTCCAGCAACTGTCCTTTCCCGGCCGACATATATTGTCAGCAGATTTGTTGCAGAGGCAATATTTAATTAGGAAGTTCCTCACTCAAAGTTTAGATATTTTTATTAGTATAGAATTTTTCTCACTTGTACCTAAACATGAACCAAACATATCCTTTATTGTTGTTGTTGTTGTTGTTGTGTCCATATGACATTGCTTTCATTTTTCTCTCCATTTCTTAAGTAAAAAGGTAAAGGTTCCCCTCGCACATATCTGCTAGTCGTTCCCAGGGTGTGCTGCTCATCTCCATTTCAAAGCCGAAGAGCCAGCGCTGTCCAAAGACATCTCTGTTGTCATGTGGCCAGCATGACTAAATGCCAAAGGCACACAGAACGCTGGTACCTTCCCACCAAAGTGGTCCCTATTTTTCTATTTGCATTTTTACATGCTTTTGAACTGCTATGTTGGGAGAAGCTAAAACAAGTAACGGGAGCTCACTCCGTTTACACAGCGCTAGGGATTCGAACGGCCAAACTGCCGACCTTTCTGATCGACAAGCTCAGCTTCTTAGCCACTGAGCCATCGTGTCCCTACAATCCTTAAGTAAGACAAGCCAAAATTTTCCTTAGCTGTACTAATATTAAAATATTTATTATGAATGCTTACAGGCTGCTTTGGTATAGATTCTAAACTACTAATAAATTCTAAGTTAATAACAAATACAGGTATTAATAATCATAGAACAACTCACAGCCATAAAAATTATGATACTTCAGACATAATAATCCATACTCTTATCATAATAACTTAGAACCAGACATTATTATAATCTTTCATTTCTTACCCAGGTACTTATTACTCTTCATTACTCTCCAGTCCTCAAATATGTACTGGAAAAGCACTTTTTCAAATGCTTTCTGAATACGAAGGTTGTAGGGAAGGTTGTCGAGAGTGCGGTAGCACTCCAGTAC